ACTTTTCATGAATTTATACATGTACATTGACCCATGATTCAGACAGCGCTATATACGCGNTAGACCTATGCATTACATGGCATTCATACGCATATGCATGATACTATAAATATTTCATGATTTATAGAGCTATCCAGACTTATAGGTTGAGTCATTTACTCCATATTTCTTCCATGTCCTTAATTAATGTTGACTTACTATTATGTTGCAGTTTTGCCTTACATACTCAGTACATTATTCGTACTGACGTCATTTTGTTGGGGACGCTGCATTCATGCCTACATGTATAGATAATCAGTTTGACGATCCCTCATAATAGACGAGATTGACATTCAGCGAAGGATCAGTAAGACTCTATCTCATTCGGAGTGCAGTCGAGTCTATGAGTCATCATGTTAGAGGTTTGCTACAAACTTATGGTTGTACATTACGAGTTGTGGCCATGTTGGCCTATGATAGTTACAAAAGGAATGAATGAGTTACAGAGTGGTTTGCTCGGGCCACTATGACACTGGGTGCCAGTCACACCTCCCTAGGTTCGGGGCGTGACACCTACCAAGAGTGACTAAGTCACATCTTCCAGCTGCTAATGCTCCTATTTGAATTGATGTCCCCGTTGGACAATCTATAAATGCAAATGAGTCTAATCCACGCTTGAAACGTGGTAGACAAATTGTTCCAAAGATAAAAATCCTCGAAAGTGAAAAGGATCAAATGATCTAGGAGATCATAATATGGAGGCAATTCCTCAAAAGAGCCCGTGACATAACAAATGATAAGACCTCAGAGGAGGTCCAGGTACCTGAAAATAATAAGAATGAAGAGATATCAATAAGTTATGTCTCTACGGGAAAAAAGGTGGAACCGAAATAATATATTATCGACAATGTTTTTGCTTATAATATTGTTGTTAAAATAATGCAACAAGATGAGGATCTTGAACCAAGGTCTGTCGATGAATGTAGAAAGAGAAATGGTTGACAAAAATGAAAAGATGCTATCTAGGTAGAATTAATTTTACTTGAAAATGCGAAGTATTAGGACGTATAGTTCAAACATTTGAAGGAATAAAGCCAATGGGATATATATGAGTTTTTGTGCGAAAATGAAATGGTAAAAATGAAGTTGTTAGATATAAAGTACAACTTGTGGTACAAGGATTTTCACAAAGGCATGTCATTGATTATATGGAGACATATTCTCCTGTGGTGGATGCAATCACCTTTAGGTATCTTATAAATCTGGCAGTCCATGAAAAATTTGATATGCGTCTGATGGATGTTGTCACATCCTATTTATATGGCACATTAGACAACAAAATTTATATAAAAATTCCTGAAGGGTTTAAAGTGCATGAAGCTTATAAAGATTCACGGAAAACTTGTTCAATAAAACTTCAAAAATCCTTATATTGATTGAAACAATTAGGGCAAATATGGTATAATTGCTTGAGTGAGTACTTGCTGAAAGAAGGGTATATGAATGATCCAGTTTATCCTTGTGTCTTTATAAAAAGGCCTGAATCAGAATTTATTATAATCACTGTGTATGCTGATGATCTGAATATCATTGGAACTCCTGGGGAGCTTCCAAAAGCAGTAAAATGTTTGAAGAAAGAGTTTGAAATGAAAGATCTTGGAAAGATAAAATTTTGTCTTGGTCTACAAATTGAGCATATGAAAGATGGAATTTTTGTCCATTAATCAACTTATACCGAGAAGATCCTAAAGCGTTTTTATATAGATAAAGAATATCCATTGAGTACCCCGATGGTTGTGAGATCACTTGATATAAATAAAGATCCATTTCGACCTTATGACAATTATGGAGATCTTCTTAGTGATGAAACTCCATATCTTAGTGCAATTGGGGCACTAATGTATCTTGCAAATAATACTCGACCAGATATAACTTTTGCAATAAGTTTATTAGCAAGATTTAGTTCATTTCCAACAACAAGACACTTGAATGGTGTTAAGCATATTTTTAGATACCTCCGAGGGACTATTGATATGGGATTATTTTATTTTTATGAATCCGATTCACAATGACTGGTTATGCAGATACAGGTTATTTATCTGATCCACATAAAGTCCGATCTCAAATAGGCTATCTATTTACTTATGGAGGTACAACTATTTCATGGTGTTCAACAAAACAAACTTTAGTTGCTACATCTTCCAGTCATGCAGAGATAATAGCTATTCATGAGGCTAGTCAAGAGTGTATGTGGTTGAGATTAGTGGCTCAACACATTCAACAATTGTGTGGTCTTTTTAAAAAAAATGAAGATTCCAACGATATTGTATGAAGATAAGGCTGCTTGCATAGCTCAACTTAAAAGAGGATATATCAAAGGAGACAAAACAAAGCACATTTCACCAAAGTTCTTTTTCACACACGATCTTCAGCAAAATGGTGAGATAGTTGTTCAACAAATCCGATCAAGTGATAATCTAGCAGATTTATTCACTAGGGCATTGCCAACATCAACATTTGAGAAGCTGAGACATAAGATCGAAATGTGTCGTCTCCGAGATATCAAATAAAGTTTTCATCAGGGGGAGTATAATACGCGTTGTACTCTTTTTCCCTTAACCAAGATTTTGTCCCAATTGGGTTTTCCTGGTAAGGTTTTTAATGAGGCAGAACTCAATGTGTATTACAAGATATGTGTACTCTTTTTCCTTCACTAGGCTTTTTCCCACCGGGTTTTTTCTAGTAAGGTTTTAACGAGGCACATTATCTATGGACATTCAAGGGGGAGTGTTATGAATACATTGAATTTGTGAATGTCCAACAACTCATCCATGAACCATTTAGAATTATACATGAATATGTTTATAACACTCATTTAATATCTTGTATCTCTCAATTAAATTGTACACTATATATACGATGTTTCTGATTCTACAAAATACATCAATAAGATAGACTTGAATACAACTTGATAGTTTTATCTATATTTCTTGGCTTATATTGCTATAATTTTACAATAAGGGACATTTATATAGCGGCCAAAAAAATTACGTGAAAATGTCCATTTTAAATAATATTACATTCCATAATTATTTAGGAAAGAATATTTGTAAAATATCATGTTGATATATAAGTCGTATACCTTCGGAGTATACAATTCATGTTGTATAACTTAATAGTGTATACCATAAAAATGTGAATTGTGTACACGTACATAATTGCTACAGTATAATCTTTTAAGGGGAGAATTTTAAAAATGAGCACAAGATAGTGAAAATTTTATTCCGCCTGAGTAATTATGGAAATCCCCTTTAGATCAACCTGAAACCCAGCTTATGTAGATAATGTGTCATTTGTTGGAGCGTTAAACAACAATCAAAAAATCAATACCTAATCAACAGGTACGTACTTTAGTTTTATTCAATTTTCAAAAATCGCAATTTCTAATCTTCATCTATACGGTGATTCATCATAAAATATAAGTTATTTTGATTTGCTTTGTTTTGGTATTGATAAATTAAAAATAAAACCAATCCGATATTGTTTGACCATCTTATGAATTTTTATTTTTTGTAAATACTTCTAAAAAAAAATTATATAATAGCAGTTTTGACTTTTTTTTCTTTCCTTTTATCCTCTTTTTTCTTAATAGTATGTGTACATATTCATGATATACTTGCATGGAATTTTGTCCTTATATGATATTCTAGTGTAAGGAAATTATTCATGTATTATTTATCATTTTAAAGATATTTCTCACTAAGGTGAACAACTAAGTCGTAAGGTGGTGGTTCATACTACATGCAAAATGGCAAAGAAAGACTATAATGTTTCTTTCTTTTTTTCTCGTGTGCCCTTTTCTTTTGTTCCGAATCGGTTACGTGACTAAAAACAGATCAGTTAAATTAGAAGTCAATTGCAGGCAAATATTACACTAAACAAAGATTAATAATTAGAAAAAATGGTAAAACTTGTTTGAATTCACCAAATTACAGTGAGCATGCATTAATTAAAAACCTTTTACACATCAATGGATAAACTTAAAACTTCTTTTAACAAGGGTAAATTAAGAATTGTGTCAGTTGCATGTGTAATATAGGTCCTTCATGGGAGGTGAATACTGTTGTGAAGATGTCTGGTCTCTTAAGCAGTGTTTGACTGCTGTATGGAGCGGTTTATTATACTTTTAGCCATAAATTAGCTAAGTTTTCTTTATCACCACATAATAAAGTCTCTTGGTTTGACAACTTTCCTGTGTGGATTGTCAATGAGGCTTCATCGTACAATGAGTAGCTGACTACTGGGTTTGATTAATACATATTCTATTTCTCCAGGGAAAGAAAAAAAAAAGAACTAAACACCCAATTAAGCTGTACATAATCAAATCCTATATAGCCGAAAGCCTCTTAAGCTCAAATTTGTCCTGTTATTGGACAGGTATTTTGAATTATTTTGTTCTAATTTATCTTTACTTGATGTAATTATCCAGTTCTGGACTAGAAGGATAAATTGGTTCCTCTTTTCTTTTTCTACTTTTCTTGGGTTGGGTTCCCATATTGGGACCTTAAAATGAGTTTAGCTGAAATATTATCGAACTAAAAGTCTAAATTATTGTAGTTGCAAAGCTCTCACGTTATTTTGACTCTCTTTCGCATGTCCAAAAGGTTTACGTTAACTACTACTGCTGCTGCAGTTTCTTGGACTGTTTGCATTGGAGATATTAAGTTATCCAGAATAGCTTGGCAGTATAATATTACATCCAATAAGCTTCTTGTCGCATAGTAACGAGAGAACAGATGGTCAAAACATTAAACCCTCTTGTTTTCTGATTATTGACTAAATTAACGTAAATTTTGCTTAGCTATATTTTGGAGTAAAAATTTGAGACTTCTTAGCATTGAACTTCTAAATTTGGGATTATTCCTATCAGGTTTTGAATCGTCTATAGTAAATTACCGGGTTGAATTCCGTTTTGGAAGCAAAGATGATCCGCCATATCATTTAGTTTTACAAAGTTAGACTGTCGCCAAAAAACACTGCATAATAGTACTTAATCAAGCTTACACAACACTTGAAGTTTATTACAGGATCTTCATACCTGTCTACTCATAGTAAAAGAACAGAAAGAAATATTGATCTTTATAGCTGTTCTGGTGAGACAACGGTAAGAAACACACCAGACCTTTATTGATTAAGGAACAACTAGCGACTAAATGCAGCTCTTATGGTGTACAGGAGGTACGTGGTAGCAATGGGCCATGGTACGTAGAAGGTGGCAGGTTTGTTGGTGGGGTGGATGGTCTAGTTTATGGAGTACTAAGCAGAAGCCCATATGGAGGAGGAGAAGGGGGTGAATATGTAGTTGGTGGTGATGGTGGTTGGCCATAAGTAGGTGTAGGTGGTCGTGGCTGCCTATGAGGAGGAGGCGGCGAGTGAATTTGTCTTGGCGGAGGAGCAGAGAAAGTCGGTGGTGATGGTGGCTGGCCATAAGTAGGTGTAGGTGGCCGTGGCTGCCTATGAGGAGGAGGAGGCAAGTGAATTCGTCTTGGCGGAGGAGGAGAGAAAGTCGGTGGTAGTGGCTGCACTTGGGGAGGCGGAGGCGAGTAAATTGGTGATGGTGGCGGTGGTGAGTATGCAGGTGGAGGAGGTGAGTATGTTGGTGGAGGTGGTGGTGGTTGTGCATATGCAGGGGGAGGAGGCGAGTATGTAGGTGGAGGAGGAGAATACGTTGGCGGTGGTGGTGGTGAGTATGCAGGTGGAGGAGGCGAGTATGTTGGTGGAAGCGGTGGTGGTTGTGCATATGTAGGGGGAGGAGGCGAGTATGTAGGTGGAGGAGGAGAATATGTTGGTGGTGCAGGCAAAGGAGGGGAATACGCTGGTGGAGGTGGAGGTGATTGTCCATATGTGGGTGGAGGTGGCGAGAAGGATGGTGGTGGTGGAGGAGGTGAGTAAATTGGTGATGATGGCGGTGGTGGTGGCAAATATGTAGGTGGAGGAGGGGAATATGATGGTGGTGGCGGTGGTGAGTATACGGGCGGAGGAGGCGAGTAAATTGGTGATGATGGCAGTGGCAAATATGTAGGTGGAGGAGGGGAGTACGTTGGTGGTGGTGAGTATGCTGGAGGAGGAGGCGAGAAAGTTGGTGTTGGTGGTGGAGATGGTGAGTATGCAGGTGGAGGAGGCGAGTAAATTGGTGATGGTGGTGGTGGAGAGTATGTAGGTGGAGGAGGCGAGTACGTTGGTGAGGGTTGGGGTGATTGTGCATATGCAGGTGGAGGAGGTGAGTAAGTTGGTGGTTGTGGCTGCCTACGGGGAGAAGGTGGTAGATGTCTTAGGGGTGAAGGTTGATGAGTAGGTGGTGCATGTCGATGAGTAGGTGGTGCATGTCGATGAGTGGGTGGTTGTGGTTGATGTCCACGTGAAGGTGGTGATGGTGTTGGTTGTACGTGTGTAGGTGGAGGAGGTGAGTAAGTCGGTGGTGGTTGCACTTGAGGAGAAGGCGAATAAATTGGTGTCGGCGGTGGTTGTGCATATGTAGGTGGTGGAGGATGTCCATGTCGACTCGGAGGTGAAGGTTGACGATGGCTTGGGGGGTGTTGTCCTCTAGGTGGTGTGTGCCCTCCGGAGGGTGGTGCATGTCCATGAGAAGGTGAAGGTGGTCTTTGCCCATGCGATGGTAGATGGCCGCCACCATGAGAGGGTGGAGGTGCACCATAGGACGGTGGCGGATGACTTGGAGAAATCACAGGAGATGGCGGGGGATTGAACCCACGAGAGGGCGGCAAGTGTCCTCTATGCGGTGGAGGACCGCCAACAGATGGTGGTAAATGACCATGAGAAGGTGGTGGGTAGGCATGGCGAGGTGGAGCGTGCCTTGGCGACGGTACATGTCCACGACCAGGTGGTGTTGTTGTCGGAGCACTAGGCGGTTGATAGCCAATAGAACTTGGTGGTGGTTGACTGGTAACAGGCGGAGGAAGGTAACCACCATATTGAGTTGTTGCTTCTGCAGCAACTAAAGAAAGAATAGCGGTGCTCTGTAGCAATAAAACCAAGGCAAATAAAGTGCTTAGCTTCATTGGTAATGGCTAGCCAGTTGTAAGAACTCGGTACAATCTTCATGGCATATATATAGTAATAGTTGACATTCAACAGGACGGAAATACCTGAGTAGAGACGACACTTGCCAGATCCACCACATAATCGGTGAATGTCGCATGCAGAGTTTACAAGTCCAAACCCAGACAATCCACAAAGCCTGGATGAAAAAGTGGAAGAGGTTTGTTTTTACTTTATTTATTTAACTATTACTACAGTAGTATTTTAAATGACCGAATGTTTCTTATAAGTAGAGTGAGATCACCTTCTCACATTCCCAATATTGTTTGTTTGTTCAAAAAATTCAATGGACAGCTAAACTATTTGTCTAGTTTTACAACAGTGAACCTGATATAACGGAAATCTGAGTTCGGTGGATTTCCCCTTCTTGAATCTTGAACAATTTATGTTAGCTTTCGACATTCACACAGAGCAAAAAAGACCAGCAATATCGACTTAAAATGAATGTATTGCTCCTCAGCAAGTAGTTAAATAAACATAAAATAAGCACCTCTCAAGTAACAGACAAAGAATACAGCTACAACTGAGAAATCACACCCCATTTGAGTGTAATTCTCTTTATATTTTTCCTCCTTTGTTGGGCGTATAATTAGGGGAACCAGTAACACTAAGGTACTATCATTTCTTGAGATAACGAAGTAGATACTAGCAAACCATTCGGCTCACATAAAGTACCACATTATTAGGGTAAACTAGAAAGGTGGCTGGAAGGAGGCAAACTTTTTAGTATCAACCACTTAAATAAGATTGCATTGCAATTACAAACAGAGTGTATTTACACGTTAAATCATAGATTGCGCGAGCAAATTTAAATAAGATAAATGAACCACCAAGAAAATACAGAGGATAAAGATTCTGGCCTTTGAGGCCACCGACACAAACTACAGTTAGGTAAATTTTCATCTCAAAATACATGGCCCTTAACAGACCGCCAGCTTCCTTCATCGGAAAACATGCTTGTATGATGAACATTACAAAAGCCAGCATCTTCGACTGCTCTTTACCAGCACATAAGCATTTCTGCATAAACCAACCATGTTCAGAATACAAATTACAAATCATTTCAAGTATACATCATGCACAACTATACAAAAGTTAAGAAGATTGTTTTGATGAAGAGACAAGCTTATATTCAACATAAGAGATTGCCCTTTAAACCATTTAGATGAACTTAGGCATTTTTTGCTGTTATAAATCAAACAGTAGCACGATTGTTAAACATGTAATGTTTTTAGCTACAATATTCATACTAAAAAAAAAACGTGAATCATGGAACAAAAAAAGGAATAGGTATCCCCAGGGAATAATCAACATTACAAAGTACACCTTGGTATGCACCTCTAAGGATTAATCCATCGTTTAATCCACTGGCAATATGAAGTGTCACTTCTGAGAGGTTAAGTAGCCGAGGTTTGACAAAATTGTATAGCTGACATGTCATATTCATGTATGATACATTCTTTTTTCCTTTTTTTGATCGCTAATTCCATGTACTGTACATTCAGTTTGATGAAATGACTATGCAAGACTTCTCAATCAGAGAGTAAAAAGGTCTTCTAGATTATGAGATTTCACATGGACCCCATATGATGTTAAGATCATTTACTAGTAAAATCATGAGAAAAAGGGCTTTCAGTTCTTGAAGACGGTTTCAAATTTTATACTTCCCTTGCTGTAATATAATTATGTCCGACAGATTGAGACTTTGTATTTCACGAAACGTATAGTTGATAAAGGACGATTAAAACACGCTTACACCCTGAAATTTGGAGTACACAGGAAGGACATTTCGCCTTAGTCTGTGCTTAGGTGAAGCCAGCAAGGCACTATAGCATAAGCCTATCCATGATTCTATCTTAAGAGAGCATTACTAAACAATAAATATTGCTAATAAAATAATGCATTAAGTTAGGAACTTTATGGATGAATAAGTTAGTGCACAACAATAGGAAATTAGAAATTTAGTATAAAAGCCAGTCATAAATTGAACTAGAAAATTAAGACTGCATCTTTTATGTCTAAATCAGTTATCTAAAATGATTTTTGAGCTTAATTGAAAGAAGTTTTACTTCAGTTACTTGATGGTCAATTTTAAACCTTTGTTCCATACAATTGGTTTTTCCTTTTGTTTTTTTAGACAGAAAGTACCATACCACTGCTGCTTCTGTTTAAAATTATTTTCCTTGCATTACATATGTTCATCTACTCTTAATCCATGTCTTCCTTCATTAAAGAAGCCTCCTTTGACAACAATATCAAATCGACAACAATTCATGAAAGGAAGATATGTGGATGTAACAATTCATGAAAGGAAGATATGTGGATGTGAATGCGTATAGGTTTTGCTTCCAAACAAAATCAACTAATCAAATGCAATTTTAGGAAAACGACAAGGAAGTTCTCATCCGCAGAGAGGCTTGACAACTCAGTTCTACAATCTTGACACATCACGTGTCATTTAAAATCTTACAGAAAACGATGGTTGGTACCTCACAATTTACTTTAATTGTGGAAGTAAGAAAGAAGGATGAAGTATGAGTATGCAAAATGAGAAATGGAAGGAATAACTTTGACGCATAGTTTTACCTTTCCAAATACTCAACGCATTTTTGTTTATGACGAATGCTCAATGCATTTCTTATAATAATTAAGTGTTTGTTATATATTACTTGAATACATAATAACATCATTCCCTTATTGTATTAAAGTGTTTGTTATAGTCCTTTACATTACTTTCTTTACAAATTCGGACACAAGATTCTATAACTAAGTATTTGTTAAATATTACTGGAATACATAATAACACCATTCATTTATTTTCTTTACAAATTCAAACACAAGAATCTATAAGTACTTGTTACATGTTACCGGAATCCATAATAACATCATTCCTTTACTTTCTTTACCAATCCGACACAAGACTCTATTGCCCATCTGTTCGTCTGCTCAAGCTTTTGTAGTAGTTTCTTTTTTTTTCTGTTGAAAAGAGCCTCCCAAAAAAAGTTACTAGGAACACCCAAAAACTTCAAAAAAGAAGAATCCAAATACATTTTTTGTTTTGCACAAAATTTCCCTCATGAAAACCTCTCCACGCACTTGCCAAAAAGTTGCTCAAACGCCCTTACAAGCATGATAAGGACTATAATCCACCTTATCCCTTCTCTTCCCTCTCCTCTCTTCGTCTCTTCCACTTTGAAGATTGAAAAGTCTTGTGATAAGCACCATACCCCCCTTTTCTTTCAATCGCCCATTGTAAGGTTTTGTCGTCACTCACTTTGTGAGCAAGGAATAAAGACAGAAATAGTATAAGGTAGATATATGTTGAATTGGAACAAAATAGTTGGTAAAATACAATCTTAAATCACCAATGTTTTTGTAGCAAAGAGTAGTTACACAGTAAAGCTTTTGCCTTACAATGTAGCGTATATAGGGCCTTTCAATCAAATATTTTTTATCAAAGGAAAAAATTATTAAAGGGAGCAGCACTAAGATGGTGCCGTGATACTTACATCCCCAAAAGGCAAAAGTGTCATCCTTTCTAAATCACTGCACGTGCACTTTCAATTTTACTCCACAAACGAAGCTAACATATAAAGTTGATCAAATTTATCGATATTCTTTATGATCCCTCCAAAAGGCAACCCCTAACGATTAGTCATCGTCTTGATCCAATATTCATATGATGTAGCGTCAACAAAAGGGGCCCCAGAAACTTAATCGCTAGTTTTAGAGAAACATTAAAGCAGAGGAGGACAGCAGCTTCAAAAGAAAAGGGAATAACTCTGCTCAATCGGTGATGGGCCTTTTTAATTTTAGGATAATTACGGGAGGGTACCTATAGAGCACCTTAGCTACTTTGAAGAAGAACGAATATGGAAAAGATTGAATTTTCACAGGAAAATTTCTCTTTAGAACACAGACCCTAAGCAGAGGACTAAAGAAGGAGTTAAAACGCACAATACAAGCACACATTTATCCAGTGAGAGTTGGATACGAATTAGGTGAAGAAATATGGGTCTTGAGGGAGTCATACTTGCAAAGAGATAAAGAGAAAGAAGTGTCGGTTTTGATAGAGATCTGTTAAAAACAGTTGCTGGACAATAAGAAGAGAGTAAAATGTAAAACACCAATATGATATACAATAATACGTGTAGTTAAGCTTTAGGGGTCGTTTGGTAGTTGGTTACAGGGTAAGTTATTTATGTATTAGGAGTAATATAACTAATATTATGCTTGGTTGCTTTTTCCATAAGGGGTATAAGTAATAAATGGATAAGTTATACAATTATTTATGCAAGGCAGAACGTGGAATAACTAATACATGTATTAGTAATATATGGATTAAACAATCAAATGACCAAAAACCCCTCATATTTATTTTAAATTACACATTGCATAATTATAACGAAATATAATCTCTACATTACAATCCATAAATTACTAAATCCGTGCATTACAAATCCTTACATAACTAATCTTTTCATAATTAAACCATGCATAACAAACAAAAAAAGACAAAAGGCAGTCAGGTGCACTAAGCTCTCGCAATGCTCGAGGTCCGGAAAAGGGCTGGACCATAAGGGCCTATTGTACACAGTCTTACCCTGCATTTCTGCAAGATGCAGTTTCCACAGCTCGAACCCATGACCTCCTGGTCACATGGCAGCAACTTTACCAGTTACGCCAAGACTCCCTTTCTAAACCATGCATAACAAAACCCTACATGATTAAACCCTACATAAGTAATCTCTGAATAACAAATCCCTGCATAACTAATCCCTACATAACTTGCCCTACATTACTAATACTTGCATAGCTCTAACTAGCAACCAAACGACCCCTTAGGATTTACAGATGGTAAACTTAACCATATAAGATACTAACATTACGTGGTAAAACTTTTAGGACTTGAAGCAGGTTAACTTTTCCAGTTAAAGAATGGTCAGTATGAATGAAATACAAAGCAAAGAATATCAACAAATAACATTCATTTTTTCTAGCGGGGGAAGGGAAATGAGCACGACCCATAATCACATTTTTTTTGAAAGAAGGGATAGCTGGAGGCATTTTCTATCTCTGGTACATATGCATAATATGAGATCAGCATAGGCATATTTTATTTATGGCACAGAAACAAGATCAATGAAGGACAGGGGTTTCCTGATATGATCATTACACCTATGTGTCAAATACACTGACCTTAGGTTCCCTGGAGAGCACAGATATAAGCTATCATNTTCCCTGGAGGACACAGATATAAGCTATCATCTTTTGCTTCATAAGAACCGAGGTTTTCTATCTGTTGGCTTCAGAATCTGAAAAGAGCACATCAAATTTTCATCCACACTCATCATAGCACCAGCATTATCAAATTCGCCACAGTAGTTTGGTGCAGAAAATATTGTGACTAGCTGCCTTTCAGCAAAAAATTCATAGCCGTCCTCCACAACCTGGGCAAGAGAATATATTAGTCAATACAAGGAACTAAAAAGCGGAGACCAAAAGTTAAAAAGGAAATACCTGATGGGCACGACAAACAAGGTCCATATCATGTTGCATCAAGAATTCTGCCACTTTATCAGAACCAAAGGTGTATGAGACACCCCTGTCATTCATACCCCAACCTTTAACTTCCCTACTAGGATCTGACCAAAGTAAATCGCAAAGCAAACCGGAGTCTGGAATATCTGTTGGACGAGGTAAATTCCTTATCTCATCTAAGTCTGTTAGATCAGGAGAAAGACCACCATGCATGCAAAGTATTTTATCATCTATGAGAGCTGCCACAGGAAGACAGTTGAAACAATCAGTGAAGGTCTTCCACAGCCTCACATTAAATCGGCGCTTGCATTCATCATAAAATCCATATATCCGGTTAATAGAAGCACATTCGTGATTCCCTCTTAACAGAAAGAAGTTCTCCGGGTATTTAATTTTGTAAGCAAGTAGAAGGCATATAGTTTCCAAACTCTGTTTGCCACGGTCAACATAGTCCCCTAAAAACAAATAATTAGCCTCGGGAGGAAATCCACCATATTCAAAAAGCCTCAGAAGATCACCGTACTGCCCATGAATGTCACCTAGAATCCAGAACAAAAAAGAAAAAGAAAAAAAGGCGATAGATTAATAAGCTTCACCAAATACAAGAAGGATTGATGATGACTGTCTGACCCAACAAACCCACTTATGCCTCAACAAAGAAACAGAGACGTGAGAGGAATTTAATGTAGAGGACAGAAAAAGTTAGCGAAAAAAATAATCCTATTAGGAAATAAAAAGACTTCATGATATAAGACATATTATATAGATACAGTATACACTAGAATACTTAAGATATTAGAATAATGACAGCAGGATCACAAAGAAAACATAGTACAATCAATTTACAAGGCACGACAAGTTAGGATTTCTAGACACTGTAATTCTCAATCTCTCAGGAACTAGAAGACCAATTTCAATGATAAACACAAGGACTCTAAACCCTCCCATGTCCTATCAAACTTCAGCAAAATAGATTAATCAAGAACCTGGTAATCCTATCAGAAAACATAGAAAGTGCCATGCTACTTACTAAAGACAAAATGGGCACTACGAACAGGATATGCAGTATATCAAAGGCAATGCCATCCAAAAGCAGATATTAGCATTCAACTATCTCCCATAAGTATATCAATAGTACCCTTTTTACACTAAAAATACAAGCCACACGCCTACTAGTAAGCCAATATAAAAGATGAGTGGGCAAACTGGCAATCAACCTTTAAAAACTCAAAATAAAATCACAGTTTATTAAACTTAAAGAAGCAGTTTTTCATCTTATCCTGACTCAGACATGCACGTTTCAACACAAGGAAACTCAACTTTCAAATTCATCAATAACCTATTGCATTTAACAATGTCGAATAAACACATAAAAGACAAACTTAAGGTCCTCAAACATTACCACTACAAGGGGTTTGAGAAAATCAAATGCAACTATGCAACTACCCCTAAGCAGTAAAGATTAATTACATGTAGAAGAACATTAGGTGATTTCTGTACTGGTGGGAGATAGCAGGTACGCGGTGGAATAGTCGCTCAAGCAAAAAAATGTAAAACTAATATGCCCAACATACATGTCATAACGATAGGCCTATACAAAGTAAGTGAAATAAGTGGGGTAGAACAGGGATTTACCACAGATCTTGATAGGGGCTTCAAGTTCCAAAAGATTGGGCTGCTGAAGGAAGATTTCTTTAGAAGCAGTACAGAGGGATCGAATCTCAGCTTCTGAAAGCTGAACCTGCCTAACAGTTCTTGCATTCCTAAACTCCAAAAGCCTGTTGATTATATCATCAAGAACTGCAGGTTCTATCCCTTGCCCATTTTGAGCCATCACCCTCCCCCTAAACAAAACCTAAAACCCCAATAAAAAACAAAGAATCACAAGAAAATGAAAAACTAGAAAATGGGGTTTACAGCTTTTCGCAAGAACCCATTTTTCTTGTGGAGAAACAAACAATAAAGAGTAAAGGTTTGATTTTGATGGGTTATATTATTGGTGGGATAATAGAGAATGAGGATGATGTGTGAGATATATTTGGGGTACGGGGGTGGATGGGGGGCTGCAACTCCGATGTCGGAGTCGATGAATCCTTGCCGCCCTTGAGACCCTCTTTTGTGGCTCTTTGCTAAATGATAAGTGTAATTGCTATAAATCTGATATTCTAAGGTTCAATCAGAATCTAGGGTTTCCTTTAAAAAGGTCACCGTTGAAGCCACTTGACCACCTGCTCGCCCATCGTTGACTCTGTTTTTGGGATTGCTTTTTGATAGATATCCCCGAAAATAATACTACTTCACATCAAATTCATTTATTTATTTTCATTTTATTCTTTCTTCTTCTTACCCGTTACCCTTAGCAGGGGAAAAGGAAAAAATAATAATTTGTTAGAAAGACTAATATTTTTATTACTAAAAGAATGAATTCCATTACTTGATTTGTCTATTGTATTAGTGAAAAATAGACTCGCCACGTGGATCTATTAAATGGCGATATGTGTAAGCAAAGTTATGAGAAAAGTGAAGAATGACATGTAAAGATGATACATGAATCACCTTTGGAGCTGAACATACTCGTACCGTGCATATTAGCCTCGGAACTGATCATTATAGAATAGCATCGGATCAAGTACGTGAGAATAGCTCATAGTTACAAATGAGAAAAGAATCAATTAATCCTGAATTCCATGGGATTTACCAAAATTACACCATTAGTTACAAATCAATTATGTAATGTACAATAAATGCAATAAATAGTTGTAACGGACAGAACAAAGTAATCAATTACGAAATTGACTCAACAATGCACGAGATTGACTCAGCAGGTACGGGATTAACTCATTAGTTACTTAAATTTATTCCTATAAATAAACACACTTTATCATCATTGTAAGAATCTAATTTTCTTCTCTACAATTCTATATATTGTAATTCATAGCATCTTGCTCCCAAGTTAGTCATAGTGCAGTTCTTCAAGCTTTGTTCGGCTCATCATCCTATCAAGCATCATCCAATAAAAATTATTTCTTCTCTGCTTTATTTTATTATATTATATGTTATTGAATTTATTTTCCTCATCTCTATCACATTGTATTAATGAAAATTTATACCTTTCAAAACGAATTGGATGTTTGTGGCCCATCATACAAAATTAATTATTTTGACTTTAAAAATTTTTTAGGTTAAACAATTTGGTTCCGTTGTTGGGACTTCAAGCACATTTTCTATTCATCCAAAGATACTAACAATTTTTGTTAATCTTTTCTTGTTTTTAGTTTAAACCTTCATCATGGCCGAAATTTACCAATCGACACAGTTGAGGATAATCGAGTCGGAGATGGCTTTACCAGAAAAAATGAAAATAAAAGAATAGTCATGATAATGTTAGGTAAGCAACGAACAAGAGAAAAATGGAGAATGGACATCGGTACTAGATATATTGGTAGTGTAACTATTAGTACCGGAGCTGATTATAATGAATTTGCGCCAAACAGTTCTGGAACATGAGGTTTAGATACACCAGGTAATTTTGATTTGCAAAATTTAGTTCTAACCTTATAGAAATAGATCAAGGAACAGAACGAGTGGATAGAACACCTTCAGGATTCCCAATTATCTCAAGAGAATGATATGAATAACCGTTACAACACAAGGATTCAAATAGAAGAAGACACGGTAAGTTGAATCGGCATTCATAGGATGTCAAAAAATAGGCTTGGAAACCAAACGGAGGTGATTTTGAATCTGATCGAAGGAGTTAGAAGAACAACGTCGGACCTTTTCGGAACTAAGGAATGAAATTATAGGTTTGGAGATCGAACAGAGGTGATTCCTAGGAGATTTGAACCTGAACGCAAAAATCTAAAAATTTAGGCCTGAGCAAAGAGACACGAGATTTTCTTCACATGTTGGAAAAAATCTATACCTTCCCGAACATATAAGGAATCAACTTACTAAATTGCAAGATTTTGTAAGGCCCTTGTAATGACCCGGTCAGTCGTTTTGAGTATTTTCGCTCAATGTTCCTATTTATTGCCTCCTTTATATTGTATTGTAGTTATGTGACTTGCCGGGTGTTTGGTTTTGGTTCGGGTGAGTTTAGGAGTGAAATGGACACTTAGTCCTAAAGTTAGAAGTTAAAGTTGAAATAGTTGACCGTAGTTTGACTTTTATGTAAACGACTTCGGAACGGAGTTTTGACTGTTCCAATAGCTCCATATGGTAATTTTAAACTTAAGAGCGTGTCAGGATATTGAATTGGAGGTCCGTAGGTCATTTCGTCTTGAATTGGCGAAGTTAGAAGTTGAAGGTTTGGAAGGTTGAGAAGTTTGACCGAGAGTTGACTTTATTGATATCAGGGTCGGACACCGATTCCGAAAGTTGGAATAGGTCCTCCATGTCATTTATGACTTGTGTGCAAAATTTGAGATCAATCGGAGTTATTTTGGTATGAATCGATGTTAGTTTTGGAAGTCAGATGTTCATAGTTTCAATAGGCTTGAATCACTACCGGATGTTCAAACTAAATACAAGGCTACCACAGTGATATAAAAAAAGATTGTGATTATTTATGAAATGAGACCACAAGGCGGTAGCTCGGTAGTGATTCTTGTTAATAACTTTTATTTACATTACTTGTATTTTAGTTGCATCATTCCTTGGTATTTTTATTATGTGTTTCTTCCGTGATGTCTTAATTGCCTTAATCTTAGTGTAGCTATTCTTGTTATATCTCTTCCCTGCATCATTTCCCTTGTTTTCATTATCATGTTATACTATACCTGCTCAGTTTCCTTATTTATTCCAGTAGGTGCCTTGACCTGACTTCGTCACTACTCTACCGAGGTTAGGCTTGATACTTACTAGGCATCGTTGTGATGTACTCATGCTACACTTCTACATATCTTTTTGTGCAGATCCAGGTACCTCATATCAGCCTAGGCACCAGTGAGTCGAGCTTGGATCGAAGACTTCAAGGTATACCTACCGGAGTTTGCAGGCCTCGGAGTCACTCTCTATCTAGTTCTATTTTATTCCCCTTGTATTAGATATTGTTGTATAGGGATTTTCAATATACTCATATTGAGCTTGTGACTCCGTATCACCGGATTTTGGGAGTTCTGTTTAGTTGAGTTGCAAAGTCCTTGTTATATCATAGCTATTGGTTAAATTTGATGTTTTATTACTATTTCAGTTAAATTCTGTATGTATATTAGGCTTACCTAGTCTTAGAGACTAAGTATCATCACGACATCCTACAGAGGAAAGTTGGGGTCGTGACAAGTTGATATCAGAGCCCTAGGTTTATAGGTATTACAAGTCACAGGCAGGTTTAGTAGATTCTCACGGATTGGTACAGAGACATCTGTACTTATCTTTGAGAGGTTATGCTACTATTAGGAAACTTCACTTCTTTGATTCTTTATTATGCGAATTTGTTGACTTCAAAATTTTGAATCTTTATCTTTTTATTCTTTCACATATGGTGAGGACATGCACCGCAGGATCCGACAATCAGACACCCGCGCCCCCTACTAGAGCCGTAAGAGGCCGGGGCCAGGGTAGAGGCTAAGGAGGGGCACGTGGTGCAGCTAGAGCACCTATCCGAGCTACGACAGAGGAGCCACTAGTAGCCCCAGTTGGGGGGTAGGCACCGGAGGCGCCTGTTGCTACCCATGCACTTTAGGAAACCCTCGCACAATTTCTTGAGCATGTTTGGTACTCTATCTCAGACGGGGTTGATTCCACTTGCACCAACCACATCTCAGACTGGGGGAGGAGCACATACTCCCGTGGCCCGTACCTCAGAGCAGCGAGTCCATGTTTACTAGGTCCTATAGGTTATAATAGTGCAGCCGGTTGTCCTAGTTCAGCCAGAGGTTAGGGTAGCAGCATCTGAGGAGGAGCAGCTCAGACTCGAGAGGTACAAGAAGTACCACCGCTACTCTCAACGGTCTAGCTATAGAGGATGCATAGGATTTTTTGGAGAAGTGTCACCGTATTCTCCGTACCATGGTTATAATGGAGACGAGCAGGGTTGCTTTCACTACTTTCCAGCTGTTGGGACCAACATACCAGTGGTGGCGGGCTTATGAGGAGGGTAGCCTAGCCGAGGTAGCTTCACTCACATGGGCTCAGTTTTCAGAGGTGTTCTTGGGAGAGTTTTTCCCCCAAAGCCTTCAGAATGCATAGCGTGCGGAGATTAAGCAGTTGTGCCAGGGTGCTATGGTCGTGTTAGAGTATGCGGTCATATTTAGTGAGTTGTCCATACATGCACTAGCCTTGGTTTCCACATTCAGAGAGCAAGTCCGTCGATTTATCGAGGGGCTCAACTATGGTAATATATACAGCATGGCTCAAGAGTTGGAGAGAGATACCCCATATCAGCAGGAGGTAGAGATCGCACGAAGATTTGAGGGCATGCGGGGCTGGGAGAGGGAGGATAAGGAGGCCAAGAGGCCTCATGATTCTGGAGGATATAGTGGTTCTCGTGCCCCAGTTGCAGCCCGTCATGGTAGACGCTATGTGAGCCGTCCAGTTCATTTAGCTCTTCCAGCTTCTGGTGGTACTCGATCTACTCCCAGGCCTCTGGTTTCTTATTATGCACCGCTATTGTCTAGTGTACCTCCTGCAAAGGGTGCTTTCAATGGTCAGTCCAGCCGACTAGGCCCAAGCCAGTTTCAGCAGCCACGTCCCCTGAGAGCTTATTTTGAGTGTGGTAATACTCATCACATGGTGAGGGACTGCCCCGGACTCAGGAGGGGTGCACCTTCATAGACTACTCAGGCTCCACATATTCCACAGGGCCCCCAGACTTCTCAGGTCGTGGTTACTACTTTAGTTGCCGATCCACCTACATAACCAGTTGGAGGTGGAGGTCAGGCCAGATGTTATGCTTTTTTGGGTAGGATGGAGTCGGTTGCATCAGACGCAATTATCACAGGTATTGTTCCGATTTGTCATAGAGATGCATCAATCTTATTTGATCTAGGCTACACTTATTTCATATGTATCATCTTACTTTGCTCTGTATTTGGGGATATCTCGTGATTCTTTGAGTTCTCCTATTTATGTGTCCATCCCTATGAGAGATTCTATTATTGTTGAATGTGGGTATCAGTCGTGTTTAGTTATTATTGGTGGTTTTGAGACTAGAGTTGATCTATTGTTGCTCAGTATAGTAGACTTTGATGTTATTTTGGACATGGACTGGTTGTCGCCCTATCATGTTATTCTTTATTGTCACGCCAAGATAGTGGATATGCCAG